ACATTAACACTGCACTGAGAGAGAGAGGGGTTCATACAGACACACTGACTGGACTCTACACTGAGAGAGAGAGGGGTTCATACAGACACACTGACTGACTCTACACTGAGAGAGAGGTCAGGATGGGGGATCACAGTCCCTCCCACACAGAACTGGAGAGAAGCAGCGAGAGGCCAGGAAACTGAGAAACAGTCAATCAGTCACTTGGCCCTGAAAACCAACACTGAGAGAGGAGAGAGGAGGGGGGGTGCAGCAGGAGGAGAATGAGGATGGAGTGAAAGGGGGAGGTGGGCAGGAGTTTCTAACTGGAAGAGGAGCTGGCAGAGGGAGAGAGAGGTGGGGGGGCAGTGTGAGTGACATCTGACTTTAACCCAGCCAGAGAGAGAGGGAGGGAGAGGGAGGGAGAGAGGGAAGGGGAGGGAGGGAGAGAGAGGGAGGGAGAGAGGGAGGAAAAGGGAGGGAGAGAGGAAGGGAAAGATGGAGAGAGAGATGGAGGGGGAGAGGGAGGGAGAGACAGGGAGAGGGAGGGAGATAGGAAGGGAGAGAGAGAGGGAGGGAGAGGGAGGGAGAGAGAGAGGGATAACGAGTTCTGATCACAGTGCAGCCAGCGACGGACGCAGAAGAGAGTCCGCTTAGTCTCCCAGACGAGCAGGGCAGGTAGGCTTGGGAATCTGTCCGGGAAACAGCACAGGAGATGGGGCAAGGAGGAGGGGGGGCTGGGAGAGGCCTGCCAGGGGAGAGCGCGCGGGTTCGAGGGCCAGGTAGGGATGGATGAAAGAGAGGAGCAGAGAGGAGACTGTGTCCCAGGCTGGAGAGTAGGAAGGGAGCAGGAGCGATCGGAGGGGAGTGGGAAGGGAGCAGGAGCGATCGGAGGGGAGTGGGAAGGGAGCAGGAGCGATCGGAGGGGAGCAGGAAGAGAGCAGGAGCGATCGGAGGGGAGCAGGAGCGGTCGGAGGGGAGAGAGGGGAGCAGGAAGAGAGCAGGAGCAATTGGAGGGGAGAGAGGAGCGATCGGAGGGGAGAGAGGGGAGCAGGAAGAGAGCAGGAGCGATCGGAGGGGAGCAGGAAGAGAGCAGGAGCGATCGGAGGGGAGCAGGAAGGGAGCAGGAGCGATCGGAGGGGAGCAGAAGCGATCGGAGGGGATAGAGGGGAGTAGGAAGAGAGCAGGAGCGATCGGAGGGGAGAGAGGGGAGCGGGAAAGGAGCAGGAGCGATCGGAGGGGAGAGAGGGGAGCAGGAAGGGAGCAGGAGCGATCGGAGGGGAGAGAGGGGAGTGGGAAGGGAGCAGGAGCGATCGGAGAGGAGAGAGGGGAGTGGGAAGGGAGCAGGAGCGATCAGAGGGGAGAGAGGGGAGCGGGAAGGGAGCAGGAG